ATTTGTTGGAGTATAGTTTTTCATAATATTCTGTTATAATCTTTTTTATTTCAGTTGGGTCTGTTGTCATGTCCCCCATTTCATTTCTTATTTGGGTTATTTGCATCCTCTCCTGTTTGTCTTTTGTCACTCTTCACTTCATTTTTTATGTACTCCCACTAGCCAAGAAAAATCTCATCACTTTTACTTTCTGTAGTTTCTATCAGCATAAATAAATAAAATATAAAACATATAAAGAATGTATTTCTACAAGTATATATGCCTCACTAGAAATTCTGATATCTCTTTTTAGGAAAGTTTTGCTCTTCTCTAGTCTTTTCTACCAGTAACACCTGCCCCCACAAAGTTTGCTAACCCTTGGTTCAAAGTCATTACCTTAGGATTTTACTTAGTAAGTATACTTAAAAATACTTAATATACTTTAGCACAATGCTTAACCTTCTTAGTCACCAGTGTACATAAGCTGTTCCTGTGGATACCACTGACAGGTCCAGGCAAAGGTTTTTTTAATTTTAGCAAGATAAAGGAATTAGGTAGGAAGAAAAACAAAGAAATGAGAGTGACAGAGAAACCAAAAAAGCAACTATACAAGGAAAAAGTAATGAGAGAATTGTAAGGAATAGTATAATTTCTCAGAAGTCCCTGAAAGACACAAACTGCTTATTAGAACCCTGGGGGACTATATGAGACAACATCCTCCTGAGCCCAATGAAGTGTATTACCTCCTACGCTCCTACTGATAACTCAGATGATAGAAGCCGAAGTGTTAAATATGGCAGTGGTTCAGTAGTAGAGCAAGCTGACTTAGTAAACGAGAGTCAGGTGCTGCTAATCCCCAAACTGGCACTGAACTGCCTGACCTTAAATGACCCATCTCTTGGCCTCATTTTACCCACCAGTAAAATAGGGGTCAAGAAGCTGGCAGTAGTAATCAAAACAATATGATATAGTACAAAAAGGACTAGATTGGGTGTTAAAGAAGATCTGGTCTCTAGCATTTATTAGCTGAGTGATCTTGGGCAAGTCAGTTCAATTTACTGAATGACCCTCTGTTACTTCATGTAGAAAATGGGAAAAATAATACCTATGTGCCTTCCTCACAAGGTTGTTGTGAGAACTAGGTGATATAAACTGTAAATACTTAAATAATGATAAAGTAAACTACTACTGGTTTACAAAAGACATAAATAAAACCATTTTTATTAGCAGTTTAAAAAGTGTTAAACAAAAATTTAAAATAATTGGTGATAGGGGTCTTTTTTAATCTCCTGTAAACTTCCTAGGGGTGTAGGCATCCTTTAAATGGAAATTCAGGTATTATTAGGATATCTAACTGAATAGTTTGGTATTCCTTTTCTAACTCAGACTTATGACATATCTTTCTGACACGGTAGTAATAATGAGATAATGGCTTTTTTTTACAAAGGAGTCAAAAAGGGAAATACTGAGTTAAGTTAGAAAAGAAATCAGACATCAGTACCTCCAGAATAGAAAATAAGATTGGCACATTTTAAGAAAGCCACAAAATATGGATAATTTAAATTTGGATCTATGGAGAGAACTACAAGGAATCCTGTCTCAATGAAGGTATTTTTAGATGGAGAGGAGGACGGTTTCCTGTTCCACAAAGTGGAGGAAACGGCATGTGGTGAGGCAATCCTGGCTCTAACATTATCCACTAAGGTAGGATAGCTGAAGGTGGGAGGAAATTCGGAGGCTGATGACCACAAGCTAGCTGGCTGGGACTGCCAAGATGAGTACCAAACATGGGTATGATATTTGTCTAGATTAAATGTAATGTGACCTATATGTAGAAGAACTGGGGAGGAAAATGTGAGGACACTACTTTGCAGGGGGACAGAAACATATTAAGAGCATGGTTATTTCAGAAACTGTCAAATTACCAATTAGTTTAAAAGGCTTTTTTTACACTTTACACTTACCAAGTACAAAAACAGACCTTCTTTTTTATGCCCTGTTAGACAAACACTACTAAGGATCATCAGAGTGAATTCAATCAGGAAGAGGATCGAGAGACTGAATTTCCATTTGATAAACAACATAGCCAAGAATAATAAAGGAAACGAAAGAAGAAGAAAGTAAGAAAATTTGGGGGAAATAGGAATAAGAAAGATTTTAAATCAGATGATCCACGTTCTTTCTACAAGTTCAATTGTTTATATCTCTATGTGCAACTGTTTATATTTCAAGAGAGTACAAATTATTTCTTGGCTAATTTTTTAAGAAACTAAGAAACAATATATAAGAAGACATTCAAAATAGCAAATAACTAAAAAACTTATACAACTGCTTGAACAATTTTTCTTGTATGGATCAGGAAAAAAGTCAGTACTAGTATAAGAATAAAGATTTAAATCAGAGAACATCTGTGAAAGTATTTTATATATAAACATATGTATACATATACATATGTATATATACATATGTACACATCTTTACTGTATATGTAAATTGTTGTTTCTAAGTGATATATTGACAAACATTTTACAATGTCCACCATAAGTTTATGTTTCAAATCTATGACTTCAATGTATGTGATTATTAAAAAAATAGTAATTTAAGATAAAACAATACTTACCAGGTAAAATATTTAAATAGTTTCGATCAGTATTCTTAGTCTTATCATCACTTCCTCCATTTCGGTTTCCAGAATCTATTCATAAGATAATGCAACATAAAAAAACATAGCAAGATATGAAAACACATTATTAGCCCTACTCCCAAAACAATCACAATAGTAAAAATTTACTAAGAGCATTCTGCTACATGCTTTACGTGGATGGTCTCATTTAATTCTTGTAAAAGCCCTGTGAGGTAGGTACTAATATTATCTTCATTTCACAGAGGAACATTAGGAAGCAGAGGCTTAGATAACTTAAGATGCACAGATAAGTGTTGCAGCCAAGTCTTGACCCAGATACTCAGATTCCAAATTCTATGGTCTTAACCACATTAGACTTGCCAGTAACTCTTATTTTTCATTTGGGAAGCTCAGGACATTAATTTAACTACACATAAAACAACTTCACTAGATAGTTGTAGTGTGGTCATCTTTATTTTTAGAATCTGAGTCACCGTTGTTGATATACTTGCTCAGGACTACAAATAAATGGTTAGCAGCACTAGGAATCACTTCACGTTTGGCCCAAATTCGTTATTTTGTATCTGACGGTATATACAATTTATTTCAAATAGATGGGTAAGACTTCATTTCAAATGGAACATTTCTTTTTCAGATATTCAATGGTTTTCCTTTTTAGGAGGCAGGATATAACTTAGAAGAATTAATGTTGGTAAAATAAGAAATATTACTGTTGATCATACATTATTATGGTTGAGTACAAATTATTGTACATACATACACATATTTTTAATAGAAGATACATCTACATTTTATAATAATTCTATCAGAACTCACAAATGCAATGAGTATTGTATATTTATTCCAATTAAATTCAAAACTATTTTGGAATTCATTTTAGAATGGCCATCAGCATCAGAAAATCACCTAAAAACGGTCAGAACTTCAACTGAGTAATCTGAAAACGCCAAGAGAATGTCATAGTTTCAAAAACATTCTGAATAAAAGTAACTTAATACTTTTACCCAGTGACTACTTTGATGAATTGATTTATAACACTGTCTCTTGTGAACGTATGTATTTTATAAACAAACAGGGCGACAGAAGGCTATGTGTTGCCAGAATCCATATTTAATATAATACCATTTCTAATACAGAGCCACACGAATGCTATTGAATAAATGTCTGATAATAGCATAGATAACAATGAACAATAAACAAGGACTCTAATTTTCCTCACATGGGGTCTGAATAAACAGAGACCCTCCTGAGTAAACAAGAAAGAACAAACAGTCCATTCCCCATTCCATGTTTTTATGGTAACACCTGTCCAGTAATACAAACAGAATGGCTATTTTTTATTAAAAAAATGTTTATAAAATGTCTATCAAAAATAATTTTTTTTTTTACTTTTTATCATGGACTGTAGAAATATAAAGATGCCTAATACAGCAATCACAGTAAGAAAAACAATGGGATGCCTCAGAATTAACAAGTACTTCCGTATCAGGATGCAAACATACAGAACAAACACGTGGGCGCGTACAGAAAAGGAACAGACTAAGAAAGTATTTCCACAAAACTCTTCTATAACAGCATGCAGGTTCCCTTAAGAAAGCTGTCTTTTATAAACCTACTTGTCTCACTGACTCACTTAAACCACAAAGTAGTTGCTTGAACAAGAACAAAATAATACCACAATGTACACACATTGCCTTAACCGTATGTGGTTTAAAAACTTCCTGTCATTTACTGCACACTTTATAGCTCTCATGAATATACTTAGAATCCTCTTCCTTCTCCCACACCTGTCATGATCTCAATCTTTATGGTTTTAGTCACTACTAAGAATAATATTAAAATGTTATTGCTAGTTTGAATGAACTGGAGGAAGAAGATGGTAGAAGACTAAGAGGGCATACTGTAATTCTCTAAAAGACCCTTTCTTAGGATATAGCTCCATACTGATTTCCTAATTTTCAGCTTGGCTCTGTCACATATTCCACATATTGTCACAGAAAAACCACAGTTAACCAAAAAACCAAACCTGTTGCCATTGAGTCGATTCCGACTTATAGTGAGCGACCCTATACGACAGCGTAGAACTACCCCACAGGGTTTCCAAGGAGCACCTGGTGGATTCAGACTGCCAACCTTTTGGTTAGCGGCCATACCTCTTAACCACTACACTATCAGGGTTTCCAGCAATGCATGCAGACCTTTAAAACCCACTGCCGTCGAGTCAATTCTGACTCATAGCAACCGCACAGGGTTTCCAAGGCTGTAAATCTCTATGGCACAGGCTGCCACATCTTTCTCCTGAGAAGCTGTTTGTGATTTCAAACTGTCTGCCTTTCAGTTAGCAGTCAATCTCTTTAACCACTGTGCCACCAGGGCTACCTTCAGTGGGAGTATAAACTGGTAGAGCCTATATAGGGAGCAATTGCTAATACTGTCAAAGTGATAAATGTATTCATCGGTTAAACTCTGGAATTTCTCTTTGGGAATCTATTCTACAGATATGCTCACAGAATGCAGAATGACACATGTGCAAGGTTACTCATGCATCATTACTTAAAATAGCAGAAAATTAGAAACAGATAAAATGGCTGTCAATAAGAACTCATTTAACATTTTCAAACGTGGGTAACTGAAACCGTGGAAAGCAAAAAAGAGGTTAAGAGGGGCTCCTGTACCTATTTAAGAAATGATTAAAAAATAAATGAAACATTTTTTAAAAGTCTACTGAGTACATAAAGAAACTATAGCAAATGCTAATCATCAAGTTAAGACTAGATAGCCACATTCTAGCTTTGGGAGAAGGGAAAAATTCCACAAATTACATAGGGAAACAGGAAGAAAGACATCAAGCAAAGATATAACAATATCTCTTTGATTACTACAAAACGCAAAACATATGTACCTAAACTACTATAATGGTGTCTTTTAAACACTACAGTTGTGTGTGTGTGTGTAGGGGGAGGCGGGGGAAGCATCCGCAGTACCTAAAGCAGATTTAGAGGTTTGACCAGCTCCAATATTGAAACTTGCCACATTTTTATTTCCTGGGCAGTGACAACAACTTTTTATAGGAAACAATAAATTACTGAGAACGCGTTCAAGCCAGACAAGAGCATGTTTTGTGATTTTATGCCTGTGATATAATATGACAGAAAAATGTACCTTACAAATACTTGGAATGAAGATCACACTTATATTTGTTGTTGCTGTTGTTAGGTGCTGTTGAGTCAGTTCTGACTCACAGTGATACTATGTACAAGAGAACAAAATACTGCCTGGTCGTGTGTCATCTTCACAATCATTGCTGTGTTTGAACTCATTGTTGCAGCCACCGTATCAATCCATCTCATTGCAGGCCTTCCTCTTTTTTGTTGACCCTCTACTTTACCAAGCACGATGGCCCTTCTCCAGTGACTGGTCCCTCCTGATAACATGTCCAAAGTACATGAGACAAAGTCTTGCCACCCTTGCTTGTAAAAAGCATTCTGGCTATACTTCTCTGAAGACAGATTTGTTCTTCTGGCAGCCCATGGTATGTATATTCACTATTCTTCACCAACACCATAATTCAAAGGCATCAATTTTTCTTTGGTCTTCCTTATTCATTGTCCAGCTTTCGCATGCGTATGAGGAGACTGAAAATACCATGGCTTGGGTCAGGTGTACCTTAGTCCTTAAGGTGACATCTTTGCCTTTTAACACTTTAAAGAGGTCTTTTGCAGCAGATTTGTCCAATGCAAGATGTCCTTTGATTTCTTGACTGCTGCTTCCATAGACACTGATTGTGGATCCAAGTAAAATCAAATCCTTGACAACTTCAAACTTTTCTCCGTTTAGCATGATGTTGCTTATTGGTCCAGTTGTGAGGATTTTTGTTTTCTTTATGTTGAGGTGTAATCCATACTGAAGGCTATAGTCTTTGATTTTCATCAGTAATTGCTTCAAGTCCTCTTCACTTTCAGTAAGCAAGGTTGTGTCATCTGCATATTGCAGCTTGTTAACGAGTCTTCCTTCAATCCTGATGCCCCGTTCTTCAAACAGTCCAGCTTCTCAGATTATTTGCTCAGCATACAGACTGAATAAGTATGGTGAAAAGATACAACCCTGACGTATACCTTTCCTGACTTTAAACCATGCAGTATCCCCTTGTTCTGTTTGAATGATTGCCTCTTTGTCTATGTACAGGTTCCTCATGAGCACAATTAAGTGTTCTGGAATTCCCATTCTTCACAAAGTTATCCATAATTTGTTATGATCCACACAGTCAAATGCCTTTCCATAGTCAATAAAACACAGGTAAACATCTTTTTGGTATTCTCTGCCTTCAGCCAGGATCCATCTGATATCAGCAATGATATCCCCTGTTCCATGAACTCTTCTGAATCCAGCTTGAACTTACGGCAGTTCCCTGTCAATGCACTGTTACAATTGTTTTTGAATTATCGTCAGCAAAATTTTACTTGCATGTGATATTAATGATATTGTTCGATAATTTCCACATTCTGTTAGAATACCTTTCTTTGGAGTGGGCGCAAATGTGGATCTCTTCCAGTCGGTTGGCCAGGTAGCCGTCTTCCAAATTTCTTGGCATAGATGAGTGAGCGCCACCAGTGCTGCATCCATTTGCTGGAACATGTCAATTTGTTTTCTGTCAATTCCTGGAGCCTTGCTTTTTGCCAATGCCTTTAGTGCAGCTTGGAATTCTTCCTTCAGTACCGTCGGTTCTTGATAAGCTACCTCCTGAAATGGTTTAATATCGACCAATTCTTTTTGATACAGTGACTCTCTGTATTGCTTCTAACTTCTTTTGATGCTTTCTGCATCATCAATATTTTGTGCACAGAATCCTTTAATATTGCAACTTGAGGCTTGAATTTTTTCTTCACTTCTTTCAGCTTGAGAAATGCCGAGTGTATTCTTCCCTTTTGATTTCCTAACTCCAGGTCTTTGCATATTCAATGACCTATTCACTAGAAATACCTTTTTTCAACAACGTAAGCAGTGACTATACATATGGACCTCACAGATGGACGCACAGGAATCAAATCGACCACATCTGTGGAAGGAGATGATGGAGAAGCTCAATATCATCAGTCAGAACAAGGCCAGGGGCTGACTGCAGAACAGACTATCAATTGCTTATATGCAAGTTCAACTTGAAGCTGAAGAAAATTAAAACAAGTCCACGAGAGCCAAACTATGACCTTGAATATTTCCCATCTGAATTTAGAGACCATCTCAAGAACAGATTTGATGCATGGAGTACTAATGACTGAAGCCCAGACGAATTGTGGGATGACACCAAGGACATCATAAAGAAAGCAAAAGGTCATTAAAAAGACCGGAAAGAAAGAAAAGACCAAAATGGATGTCAGAAGAGACTCTGAAACTTGCTCTTGGATGTAGAGTAGCTAAAGCAAATGGAAGAAATGATGAAGTACAAGAGCTGAACACAAGATTTCAAAGGGCAGCTTAAGAAGACAAAGTAAAGTATTATAATGAAATGTAAAAGACCTGGAGTTAGAAAACCAAAAGGGAAGAATACTCATACTTAGCTCCTAACTAAACAAACTTAGAGCCCTCGCGGCACAGTGATTAAGAGATTGGCTGCTAACCAAAACGTCAGCAGTTTGAATCCACCAAGCTGCTCCTTGGAAACCTTATGGGGCAGTTCTACTCTGTCCTTTGGGTCACCATGAGTCAGAATTGACTCGACGACAATGGGTTTAAACAAACTTACGGTACCCAGTTTAATTTACAGAGAAAATACTTTTCAACCTTCATTTTTCAATTAAAGAAGAACAGAATTAGTCTAATTTTTGTCAGAGATTTTTATTTTACTCATGTCTTCCCTTAACTCTTTCTATGTGTAGATAGAAGGCTTCTGGAGAAAGATGCCATTAACTTTTTCCATAGCTTTTTAAACATTTTCCAGTAAATTTCCCAAATGGTTAGAAATGACATTTATACTGTGAATAAATATAGAAAAAGAAATCTTTCAGGGACTATTTTTTTTTTTAAAAAAAGAACAACCAAAAACAACTCAAGTAGTTGCCTTCATGCTACTTAGGTGGATCAAAGATGGTACAAATAAAAAGTATGTATTTTGTGGTACCTTTTACTCTATGATTTCAATGTTCTCTTAGTAATAACTATGTCTGTCTTAGAGATATGGAGATAAAGAAATTGATTCAAAAGACCAACTTTCCACTGGGGGCCTACTTAGTAGTGAAATTTAAAAAACAGCTT